GGGAGAGAAGATGTAGAGGCACTCAATTCAAGTCTAGCAAGAGTTGGTGCACACATGGGGGGTGCAAGACCAGCTACAGTTGGTGCTCTCACATTTCAGTCACCATGCCTTGTTCATCGCAGTCCACATTCTCGGCCAAGCTGCAGTCCCCCCCAGCCACCCACCCAGGGAAAATCGGCCCCCATGCTTGCTGCAAGTCCAACAGGACTTGCTCTGGCGGCAGATGGTGGGGGAGAGGGGTGTAGGTAGGGAAGAGAAGGACAGAAGGAGGGTGTGGGGCAGGGGACAGAGGAAGGAAAAATGTATGTCATCACCCGTGTGTCGCACCCTTCTCCTCCTCTCTCACTCATCAGCCTGTGCAGCTGACCACGGAATTGACACCTGCGGTGGTGAAGTACCAAGAAACCGTGACACGGAAATTGAAACTGCTGAGTGAAAAGCATCATGCAAATGGGACCATGGGCATGACGTGGTCTCTGATACATCCACTGGTAATGATAGTGCCATTGAAGATAGGAGGCATAAACGGGAGAGGGGGTCAAATAAGGGGTATGTATGGCTGGGGATGTGCATTCCCTGAGCTCCATTAGGCACTTGAGGAAGTGATTTACGTACGGCTGCTATGACTCATGGTGAAGATCCTAGGCACTCGAGCTGCAGCTCTTGCCATTGCTGCATCCAGCAATGGCAGCAAGCCATCAACACATAGAATTTTCCCCCCATGACTGCTGGAAGTCCAGCCAGCAGAAGTTGCACTGGCTGCAAAGCAGTAGGGGCCGCAATGGAGTAGGGGAAAAAAATCAAAGGGAGAGGGAGAAACGCCCTGCTTCTGAGGGGGTAAGAAGGAAAAAGAGATGAATCCCTCCCTCTCTCAAACCCTGCACTGGACATTCGAGCAGACAACTTGAAGTGTGATGGGCAAGCACGCGTAAATTGAGAGGGATTAGGGAATATCGGGGAGATTTCTATCATATTGCGAAACGGCTTGCATGCTGCTGCATTCTCAAGGTGAAGTTGTCCGCTCAAGCTGCTAAGGATCATGCGTTGGATGAGAATCACGAATTTGAAGAATCATGGATCGTGCCAAATGGCACATCCGGTGTGCCCCTTGGCTTTGATAATCCGCTGCCATGCCACGATTGGTGCCACTGAGACTATCTTGTGCATGAGGTTTTGATAACTGGAGCGGCATGAGCTTGAACAACGAGACACGGGAAACATATCAGGGCACAAAGAAGGGGGGCATAGCAGCTGCTGCAGTTTTCTCCTGCTACTCTCTTCAGAGGAAAATTGGTGACAAACCCCTACGAGTGCTGGACAAGTTTGAGGCTGAAACCTGAGCAGATTGAAACTGCTCTACACCCATACCTAAGCAAAGATAGAGGTTGAATCCACTCTACACACATTTCGACAGGCAAGAAGGCCATGGACAAGGCAAGGAAGGCAAGGTGTCGGCAGGTTCCAGCCACATCTGAAATGTGCCAACTGTGTGAAGGAAGCCCCAGCGGGCAGGATAAACTCTTTAAGCACTTGATCTTAAACCTCCATAGAAAACTGCGAGGGCAAGGTAGTATCTGCTACCTAGGCCCTCTAGCTACGGTTACGACCGAAGGTGTCTTTGCGTTGTATGATGCACTTTCACCTACAAAAAACATAAATAAAAAGCTTGAACAGACTTTGTTGGTACGTTATTTCTGTTGGTGTTTCCACTGCTTCGCACTGCCCGTGACACGATCACAGCTGAGCTGAAATGCGCTCCGCGTCATCGTGGTGACACCTGAGTGTTCCTGCTGGAATGCTCCAACTAACGTCACCAAGACTACATAAGACATGAAAGCTATCAGGGCAATAAATACATGAGAGAGGGTGGGGGTCGAGGGCAGGGGGGGCGCCTCGGGGGACCAACTGAACGCCAACTTTAAGTTCGTCTAGTACTAGAACGAACCTTGGGAGGCTGCAAACGGGACACAGCGGATGGGAGAAACCACAGCGAGAAACGTCAGAAAGAAGAGTAAGCGGAGTCGAATGATGCGTCCCGCGCCTTCCGTTGCCATCGTGGTGCGGCAAGCTTCCACTAAACCCTGAATTAGTAGTAATTTTAATCGCTTGTGAATCTGTGCGTAATCAGTAGCAGTGGTTCTAAGCGTCAATAGAAACGCGTAAATACTTGTGGACGGTAAATAAAGAAACTACTGTATGATGAGAGCCTACTCGTAGAACCTGGAGTGCAGACGACATCAAGTTATGATGAGGAATCCATGAAAGTTAGCTTGAAATGAAGCTAGAGGAAAAGAGAGTGGCAGGAGGAGGTGAGGGTTGGGGATGAAAGTCCACTTTCTTGCCAAGATCGCTTTGCAATTTCCCATGTGCCTGCGACAGGCCAACATAGCTGACGAGCGTCAAATTCGCGAGTTGCGGCAAATGCGAAAATATCGTCAAGTTGCCCTGCTCTGGCGAATTCCAAGGCGATACGAGTTTCGGTGGTGGCGTTTTATGCCAACAGGGCGCGTCGAGCCACCGAAAATCTCGCCAGGTCTGCGAGTCAGAAAGATAGGACAGCGCTCCCTGTTTGACGAACACGACCTCTTCATTCGCTCGCGCAATAACGGAGCGAAACAAACAAAACCCACACGACTACTACAGCAAATGACGAATGATTCTTCCAGCATACCTTAAGCCTACAAACATGTTTGGAAAATCGAAATATGGTATAAACGACCCGCGCCTGGTGACATGGTGAGCTCGCCGCTCATTCCGCGACCTACCTTACCGCGACCTAGAACTGTAAAGTGGTCGCTAGGCTAGTGATAAGGTAGATTTGACATACAGTTGACGGTTCAACAGAATGGGCCTCTAATAGCCATGATTGCTTCATCTGCCCTTCTTCCGTAACTTCTCTGATGTAATTTCGAAGGATAGTCGAAACCGGAACGTCACTTTGCTGGATACCGTATGAGCTGACTTAGCAATAGCACTAGTAACACTGCTCACCGCAATCCCTAATGTTTTCCATGCGATGGCAAGTCGAGCGAGGGTCACGTGCGTCGCTAGCTGCTCCGTGAGCGCCGAGAAATTCCGAATGGCCTACCAGTTGTAGCGCCACGCGTATTGAGAGAGGCGGCGTCACGAGCATCGCAGGCATCGCAGCGAGTCGAATGGCGTCAATTGACGATCAACGGAACCGTCAGCTTGCCTTTGCTGAGAATTTTCGAGTCATAATCGTTTCGATGCTGCTTGGGGGGATTGTGTTCCCCCCTCTTTGCTCCTCTTCCCATGCATGTTCCCCCTGCTTCGCACCAACGTTTGCTGTTTCATTCTGTGCTTTGTTGTGCGTTCCATTTCTTATGTACCCTGCTCTCCTCCTCCCCCTCCCCTTCTCCCTGTTTCCCCTTTCTTTCCCCTCCAATCCACCTGCCTTCCCGCCTCCTCATTTCTTCTCCCCACTCCCTCCCCCCTCCTTCATGCGACCTGCCATCCTCTCACGGGCCACGACAACCTGCTGGAGAGGATGGCAGGATTGCAGGATGGCAGGGCGACAGGGCGGCAGCCATGCACCACTCGCGTTTGCAGTGGGTCCGCGCAGCCATGTCGATCAGAAAACCATGTCGTCGCCTTAGCAACTGACCAGACGGCCTTAGCGTTCTGTCAAGTGGCCGTCGGCATTGCCTTCCTCATCGTCACTTTCAGCACTGGTGGGAGAATTGACTTCTCCCGACCTCCTCCTCTCCCCTGCTCTTCAAGGAAGCGCGTTCTCCCGCGGTTAGATGACTGACGCCTTCCTCGAGGTGGGTGAGAGGGTTGGGGAGAGGTGGGCGCGGGAGAGGGGAGTTGTGGGTGCGGGGATAGGGCTGGGGGGTAGTTGGGAAGGGGCTGGGAGATGGTTAGTCGTGGAGGGGGGTGGGGGTGGGGATGGGGGAGGGGGGGAGGGGGGGGGGGGTGAGGGGGCATGGAGAACGAAAGAGGGTGTTCCCGCGACGAGATCGGACGGCTTCCTCGAGGTGCGGGAAAGGGGCGGGGAAGGGGTGGGCGTGGGGGAGGGGAGATGTGGGGGCAGGGAGAGGGCTGGTGGCTGGGAGTGGGCTAGGAGAGGGGAGAGGGGGGGAACAAGAGGGGAGGGGGAGAGTAGGGAGAGGGGTGGAAGGCATGGACAAAGAAATCGGGTGCGTTCGCAACAAGATTGCAGACGCATTCCTCGAGGTGCGCCGCGGGAGAGGGGGGGAAGGAGGGGAGGGGGGGGGGGGGGGGGGGGGAGGTGGGAGTGTTGGGTTGGTTGGTGATGAAAGTGAGAGGGTTGTGCAGCGAGGAGAAATGAGTGACGACGGGGATTGCTAGCAGTCGTTTTTCGCTCGAGTCCCAACCCAACCCCTCTCACTTCTCCACTCTCCGCCACCCGTGCTACATTTATCGCTCAAGTGTGCACACATTGTGCGACATCCCCAAACCTTGGTCTCCCTGCCTGTTCCCCTCTGCGCCATTCCCACTCTTTCCGCCTTCCTGAAGGTGCACCGGGGAAGATGTGTGAGGACTTGTGCCAGCAGTAGCAGACGGCATGTTGCTGCGCAAGCTTGGTTTGGGTTGTCTCAAAGCAACCAGGCCTTTTCTCTCCCCTCTGTGCCTGCCTGACAACCTCCGTCACCCTGCCCCTCCGTGTTCCCGTCTCCAACCCCCCCCCCCCCCCCCCCCCCCCGCTGCAGGTGTGTGTGTGAGTGTGTGTGTGAGGGCTGTGTGCCAGCAGACTGCATGGTGTTGTGCAAGCTGGTGTCGAGTCGTCCCCTCCTCCCCCCCAAACGCCCCCCCCCCCCCCCCTCTTCTGCCCCCTTTCACCCCCGCCAAGTGTGTGAGGAGGACCATATACCAGCAGTAGCAGATCGCATGGTGCTGTGCAAGCTGGTTTCAAGTTGACCCCTCCTCCCACCGCTTCCCCCTTTCTCCCCCCGCCAGGTGTGTGAGGACGTGTACCAGCAGACCGCATCATGGTGCTGCGTAAGCTCGCGCAGGACATGCGCGAGTGGATACACCGGCGGGTGAGCCATGGGATAAGGGGTGATTGTTATGGGATGGTGCCGGTAAGCAATGGGGGGGGCCGCGAGGAGGGGAGAAGGGGGATTAGAAAAGACCGAGGGATAGAGGGTGCTGGCACAGGACATGCGCGAGTGGCCGGCCTGCGGGTGGGCGAGAGGGGCAGAGAAGGGGGGGAGGGAATACGGGGGATATGGAAGGAAGGGTTAAGAGGCGATGGGGGGAAGAAGATGGCAAGGGTTCAGGAACGTGAGGTCTATGAAGCAGGATGTAGGGGCTCTCTCCTCTGCTCTTTGTCACCCCATTCTTCCCCTAACCCTCCCCCCCTCCCCCTGCACGCCTCTTTCCAACGCCTCTTCCCCACTCCTCTCGCCCACACCACTCCACCACACCTACTCCCCACTCCCTCTCTCCTACCCCTCTCCCCCACGCCTTTCCCCCACGCATTTCCCTCACCCCTCTCTCCCACCTCTTTCCCCCATGCATTTTCCTCACCCCCCTCTCCCCCCCCCACCCCTTTCCCCCACGCATTTTGCTCACCCCATTCCCCCACCCACCCCCTTCCCCCACGCAATTTTCTCACCCCTCTCCCCGTTCAAGAGGATGCTGATTTAAGAGTGAAGGTTGGAGAGTGCAGGAGGGTCTTGCTGCTGTAGTACAAAAGCCTGCCAGAAGTCTTGGGTTCCTATTGGGCTGCCAAGCACTTTGACGCCTCCATCGCCTAGAGGCGGGAGGCTGGTGATGTTGGCAGCCCCTCCGGCCGAGACCCAGTGGGTCACTTTGGCGGACACTTTTGGAGCTGAGAAGGGTGTGTGCAGGGTTCTGGCGCAGGAGCAAGTGGGGAGGGCTGCCTGTACGTGTTGATGATGTACGGTGAGGAACCTTGGAGAGCTAAGTTCCGTTGGGGTCTCCAATATGCCATGCGCCCAACGGAGTCTACAGGTTACCTGCAGCTGCTCGTCTCTGTTGCTGGTCTGTGTGTGCCCATCGCACCCAGCTCGCCAAGAAGACCTCTTTCTCTCAGAGCTTGAGGAAGGGCCCGCATGGTTCGGGCTCACACCATGATCACATCAGATAACCACCTCAGTATCCCATGATCTCATCACCCCAAGATCGCATCCACCCCATGGCAGAGCACCGTGGCAGGGTGCACTAGGTGTGCTGAGTGCAGCCGTCACTATCCCTTCCCCTTACACTTTCCCATTTCCACCCCTTTCTCCCTTTCCCTCCTGTAGCCCCTCCGATTCTCCATCCCGATTGCCATCCGCACCTCTCCAGGTGAACACAGTGCAGCAAGCAGCGTCCATCACACTGCTCCAATCCGCCTATCCTGCATCACCTCATTGCTCTCTCTTGCTCCCTCTCACCACCCTTCTCCCCTATCACCCACCAGTGTGCATAGTCCTGTCAGTAGCATCCACCCCCTGCCATCTCTACACCCACACATTGATCAGCAAGCCCTCATCTCTACACTGAGGTGAGTAGTGCGTTGTATCGAACCTGCTTCTACCGAAACGGGTCTCTCCTCTAATTTGTGATCTGGCTTGCTGCCACTGCCATTGGCAACTCATCATCTCTCGTGTCCACCCATCAATTTGGAGGAGTCAGTCTCATGGTCTTATTGCTTCATCACACGTTCACCCCATCCACACAGCACCATCCCCATTACCCCATCAACCAATCAGACCATCACCTCTTCACCCAACCAGCTCTTTGCCTCATCATCCCATCACCCCATCACCCCATCCCATGATTGGTGGGGCGCATGGTGCAGGCCGGTGGTACGGGTTGGTGGTTTGCCGTCCACAAAAGTGAGGAGCTGCCCTTGATCTCCCCTACCTTTCCATTTTCCCTTCAATCCCAACAGTCCCTATTTTGCAGGCGCAGAGCCAACATCGCCAGCGTTAGAGCAGTGAGCTGTCTCAACAGTGGACTGGCTCATTCCAATTGGGCGCCTTTCCACCAGGCACTGAGCTCTGCTAGTTCTCAGCCTTCATCCTCCCTGCCTGCCCTGCCTTCCCTTCCTTCCCTTACCACCCTCGACTACCATTACCAACCCCTACTCTGCAGGCAGTACCCGGCAGGTGCAAGGCCAAGATCCCCACTCTCATCACCGTCGCCTTCATTGAAACCTTGGGGACCTCTGGCACTTGGCTTTGCCTCGTCCCAGCCTTCACCATCCTCGCCCTCGCAATAGAGAGCAGCTCATTGCTCAACGATGTTGATTTCTGATTTCCGCGATTTGTCATTGCGTGGATGCTGCTGAATGGAAGTCTGCTGCTGCTGCTCTCCAAGGGTGGCGGCATGATCTTGTCCTTCCTTGCCCATTGATCCCCATTTTGAGAGTGTCAAGTCGTTCTACTTCTAAACAGCAGCTGGCTAGTTATGTTGCCCAGGAGTGACGGCATGTTCCTGTTATTATTACCCACGGATCCCTCCGACATTTGACCATCTGGCATCAATGCAAGAACTTCTCTTTGGTGTACCGATGCAAGGAGGGGAAACAGATGAAGGTGAAATGGAACACAACTAGAGGGGATGGATCCTCACCTGACTGCCTCCCACCGACGCCACCACCAACCCCACCAGCAACCGAGGGGAAAGGGTGGACTCGTTTGCAGCGGACCTGGCTATATGCATTTGGTCAATCTGATAAGCACTTGAGATAATTGGTAACTTCATTCAAACTAGCCCAATTTTGCATATTTGGCAAGTAAGCAGTGCAGATATAACTTGGGGCAAACAGAGAAAAAAGGGTATCACTTTTTGAACTTAAAAAGGTCCTCATTAGACCAGGGGGACTCACTTTCCAGTTATATCCAGAAAAACAGCCGCATCTTGTCTAGGTTGCGGAACCTGCCATTCTGATTTGATCAACGGAACTCATGCTGGTGGATAGCAGCACATGTGAGGATAAGCTGGAGTCTGGGGTGCCGCGGTGAGAGAGAGGATACGCGGGGGAGCGATGATACGCTGGGGGGCGGACGACTAGAGCGAGGCGGGGTGGTGCAGCAGCTAAAGTTGCTCGGAGGGCCTGCCCGGGTGGTGAGGGAGGAGCTCATCAGTGAGCTTTTGCACCCGATGGCCTTCAGACGACTTTTGAGTCGACTCAAAAGACAGCTAGAGTTGGTCCGAGGGCCTGCCCCCGGGTGGTGAGGGAGGAGCTCATCACTGAGCGCGTGCACCTGATGGCCTTCAGACTCACGTGCCTTGTTGCGCGACAGCCTGCCACACAGCACACACATGCACACGCATGCACACACACGCACGCGCGCACGAGCGCACACGCGCACACACAGACACACGCGCACGCACGCACGCACGCACTCGTACACACACACACACAAACAACCCCCCCCCCCCCCCACTCCCCCCTCCCCCTCCCCCTCTCCCCCCCCCCCTCCTCCCACACCCACACCCACCCACCATGCAGAAGGCGAGGACGCCCCCCACGGGCATGACGGCGAGGGTCCAGAGGGCGTGAGGCCACGTGTCAAAGTAGGGCAAGGAGGCGAGCGAGGACCACGGCTCGTGCAGCAGCGAGAAGATGCCGCACACAAGCGCCATCACGGGCGCCAGATACTGCAGCAACGTGAGCAAGGTTGGTGGGAGGCAAGGGGAACTAGGAGGACTGGGAAGGAGATAGTGGCATGAGGATGGCGTGACCATAGCAAATATGCGAGGAAGGGTGAGAAACCGGAGGATTGTGGCGTGTGGGAGAGCAAGCACAGCACACAGGCACTGTGGAGCTGGGGCTGCACCCGGCAATATGAGGTGAGTGAGGAGGAAGGGGCAACGCGACAGATGCTTACCAAGTGTGTCCCTCTGTCACCAGTAGAAGCGACGACAGCATGGTGAGATGGTGAGTAGATGTTGTGAACGTAAAGGGTAAACAGGAGACGAAAAGAGTGGGTTAGTCGGTTGATGCAGCAGCACACATAGCAGCACAACAGCAGCACAGCAGCACACAGTAGCACAGCAGCACACAGCAGCACACAGCAGCAGTGAGCAGCAGCTTACCTGGAGGAGCACTTGCAGCAGCACCCATCGGAGACCCGCCATGAATGAGGCCAGCATGACGAGGATGAAGCCCAGCAGCTCAAACTCCGTCTCCCCCACCACTGGGAGCACCACACGCCACTCGAGGGCACACCACACGGAATGTCAAAAGCGCGAATTAAGTCAAAGAACTCTGCTCGACGCCCATGTATAAATCAGGCGTTGCGTTGCAATGCTGATTGGGGGGTGGAGCGCACGGAAATGGTAGTGATACAAGAGGAAAACTGAGGCACGGTAGAAAAAAATGTTGGATGGTCATCGAATTACCCTCCCAGCCCCCTCCCCCTTCCGTTCTCCCTTCCGTTCCCCCTCGCCCCCCCCTCCCCACCCTATGCCGAGCACGCCGACGGAGATGATGAGCCTGGTGCCCACCCATGCTTCTACTCTATGCATCGCAACGTGCTGTGTGTGTGGAGCGCACCCAAGTTTGAGTGCCACACTGGACCTTTTCTGCAACGGATAAGATATCACAAACACTTTTGAGTACACCCACGCTTGAGCAAACCCCCGTAAGCGGATCATTTTGACCAAGGAGACTGCAGTGAATGAAGCGGATAAGATATCGCACAGTGACGACGAGGGAGAATAAGGGCGGGACAGCGTACCATGGAGTAGAAGGTGCGGGTGACGAGCGCGAGGGAGAAGCTGGAGAGGGCAATGTCAAGCGATGTGGCCACTGCCGTGGGCACCACTGCATGCACGGGGCAGAGCACACAGGGCACAGGCCAACACACGTTTAAACAAGTAAGCATCCATTAGAAAGCCGCCTGAACCGAACCAGCCTCAATGGACAAGTTGCAGAACGTGCAAGCACGAGTTCCTGAGCGCGCCCATCCCCATTCTCAATCCCTCCCTCCCACCCACACGGCGAACCTCGCACGAAGTAGTCGCGCCAGGAGATGGGGGAGGCGGGCAGCCACAAGTGGCAGCAGAGGTGACTTTTGAGGCTACTCAAAAGTCAGTTGACTAGAAACACTTTTGAGTCAACTCATCAAGTTACCTCGCACCACGTGACCGATCAGTACCTTGTTGTACCTGCCCACCCACCCACGGCCACCACCGCCCCGCCACCCACCCACCCACCCATCCATTCACCACCGCCCCGCCCGTGCGTACATGCATGGCGATGCGATAGTGCAATGCATAGCGGGAGTGCACAGGTACAGCAGGGGGCGATAAAGGGTTGCTTGCAAGGGGAGATAGGAACGGGCGAAAGGGCCCTTTAGATGGATGGCCAGCCCAGTGAGCAATTTGATCACGCCCTGGGGGAGTGGCAACTACAGGGAGGGTGGCTACACAGGAAAAGCGACATGCTTACAGGGAGCGCGGCATGCTACAGCGCCATGCTTAGAGCAGCATGCTTACAGGGAGCGCGGCATGCTACAGCGCCATGCTTAGAGCAGCATGCTTACAGGGAGCGCGGCATGCTACAGCGCCATGCTTAGAGCAGCATGCTTACAGGAAGCGCGGCATGCTACAGCGCCATGCTTAGAGCAGCATGCTTACAGGGAGCACGGCATGCTACAGCGCCATGCTTAGAGCAGCATGCTTACAGGGAGCGCGGCATGCTACAGCGCCATGCTTAGAGCAGCATGCTTACAGGGAGCGCGGCATGCTACAGCGCCATGCTTAGAGCAGCATGCTTACAGGGAGCACGGCATGCTACAGCGCCATGCTTAGAGCAGCATGCTTGCAGGGAGCGCGGCATGCTACAGCGCCATGCTTAGAGCAGCATGCTTACAGGGAGAGCGCCGTGCTGAAGGTGTGCCAGAGCAGCACGAGCAGCACCACCTTAACCGCCGACCACAGCCACGGCGCGCACCATGGCGACACGCGCAACGCCGATGCTGACCCAGCAACGTCATCTTCCAGGTCCGCTGGCACGATAACATCTTCGCTATTCGCCATAGGCCGACTCGATTCCATGATCGATTTGACCTGGATGGCATTGCTTGTGGCAAGTCGCGGCGAGAGCAGCGCTTGGCTCTCATTGGTCGACATGATGGCGAACAGGAACAGCTACGATGGTCAACCCTAAACTCCGCACTAATGAATTCTCGTGGCAGGGTGGCGTGGAGATTCGATCATAGCTCTCAACGCGAAGAGATGGACGAACGCGACTGAGTGTCGCACACAGGGTCGCCAGATCGCAAAATGCTGCGCTTGGAGCTTTTTTCCAGATAGCGCGTTTTGAGACGTCTCTAAACTAGATTGCTGCGCTTGGAGCTTTCTTTCAGAGCGAGATCGACCCGAGCAGCGAGCGACTGCACGCGCTAGTCGCTCAAAATGCGGCGCCACTCTGTAGGACGCCGTGACGGAAGCAGGGAAGCGCCAGATACGCCCAAAAAAAAAAAAAAAATCAGCATTCGGTATCAGTGCGCTTGTGATCGCTTGTGAATCCGGATACCACAAGCGCTTGTGATAACTAGAAACGCCACGCGACTCGTAGATTTTGCGGAAACTAAGATGGTGGGAGGAGCATGTGAGCATATGTGTGTGCCCGACATTGCAAGAGCCCACTTGAACCTATTCTACGACAGTAGTTCAGCTTGCATGGTTTGCCTAGTTGATGCTCGGTTACCACTCGCCTCATTCAACGAAGAAGCACGAAGTTGCAAAAGTACAGCTAGTGGGGTACTACAAACAAATGTTGGTCGACAAACCAACAAAGGAATACGAACCATGTTTAGGATGGCAACAGCTGACTCACAAGCTCAGGCATCGAATTTGGAGTCGCGTCCCAAATTCGTACCTTGATTACGGCCGTGCTTGGGCGAAATGAGAACGACGCAGGGCCTGCTTGTTTGGCAGTTCACTTCGCGGAACTAATAGGTGTGCGAGATAAATTTCATCTCGCAAAACACGGGTGGTAACATACAAATGGCAATCGGCTGTGGATTCTGAAATGGAACGGTTGTGTCGAACTCGAAATTCGAGTACTGGGTCATAATCTGACCTCCCGTATGACTCCTTCCTACTACACCTGATGCCTATTTCAGTCCCCTTCTCCATCTTCCCCTGTGCTCCTCTCTCGTGCACGCCCTCCCCATGGGGAGAATGGGACTGTATTTGGGTAGGCTAGCGTGTCTTGTCTGGGAAACTCGAAGAACTTATTCGAGGTCAAGAATATCTTAGTTTGTTCGTGGGCCAGTAACGCGCGGGCCGTTGGCTGTGAATGTCGACCACTGGGCGTATGGAATGGCAGTGAGTGTGTTCAGAGTGGGCGGTTGAGTGAGCATTAGGGTGTACAGCTATGTCTAGCCACCATAATCTGAGTCGTGACGCATACTAGGCGTGCATTGCAAGAGCGCTATCTCCCATCGCAAGAGAAGGCGACTCGAATCGCCTCTACGAACCACTACGACTCGCGGCGGCGCCATTCCCTTTGCGACTCGTACTATACTCCGCGCATCCTGTGCTCTCGTCACTATTTTTTGGTCCGCTCGCTCCGTCGCAACACTTTCGAATTTGCCGCGTCGCGCCATCACGCGCCACGCGCTGCAGATCGACGTACCGCGCCGCCGCTGGGACACTTCGAGCCGCGGAAACGATAGTCTAAGAAACCCTAGTTAGAGGTAAGCCTCCCCATCCATTCCCCGGTCAGACCTTCGCTTTCAAATCTTTGCAAGCCTGAGGCTCACAACTCATGGTCTAGGCGCTTATAGTCTGTCAGAGGGGGTCGATGCGCAACTGTTGGTTACACACGGAGTTGCTTACGGATTCTGCACACTGCCAAGAGACTTGCAGAGCCCCTTGACGCATTCGTTGCCCTTATTAGCATTGCTGCTTTCGCCCTGGTTCACGGAGTCACGCTGTCACTCACCCAGGCAATGACCGTCCAAGCATGTGACCCAGCTCAGGCTGTGACCTAGCCTGGACCCTGCGGCCCTTTTTACATCTAAGCTCATTAACCATTATACCATTATGCTCTCACTGACCTGGGCTCTCACTGACATGGGCTCTCGTTGACCTGGGCTCTCGTTGACCTAGGCTCTCGTTGACCTGGGCTCTCGTTGACCTGGGCTCTCATTGACCTGGGCTTTCATTGACCTGGGCTTTCATTGACCTGGGCTCTCGTTGACCTGGGCTCTCGTTGACCTGGGCTTTCATTGACCTGGGCTCACATTGACCTGGGCTCTCATTGACCTGGGCTTTCATTGACCTGGGCTCTCATTGACCTAAGCTCTGATTGACCTGGGCTCTTGTTGACCTGGGCTCTCATTGACCTGGGCTCTCCTTGACCTGGGCTCTCGTTGACCTGGGCTCTCATTGACCTGGGCTCTCATTGACCTAAGCTCTGATTGACCTGGGCTCTCATTGACCTGGGCTCTCGTTGACCTGGGCTCTCATTGACCTGGGCTTTCATTGACCTGGGCTCTCATTGACCTGGGCTCTCATTGACCTGGGCTCTCATTGACCTAGGCTCTGATCGACCTGGGCTCTCATTGACCTGGGCTCTCGTTGACCTGGGCTCTCAGTGACCTGGGCTCTCGTTGACCTGGGCTCTCATTGACCTGGGCTCTCATTGACCTAAGCTCTGATTGACCTGGGCTCTCATTGACCTGGGCTCTCGTTGACCTGGGCTCTCATTGACCTGGGCTTTCATTGACCTGGGCTCTCATTGACCTGGGCTCTCATTGACCTGGGCTCTCATTGACCTAGGCTCTGATCGACCTGGGCTCTCATTGACCTGGGCTCTCGTTGACCTGGGCTCTCATTGACCTGGGCTTTCATTGACCTGGGCTCTCATTGACCTGGGCTCTCATTGACCTGGGCTCTCATTGACCTAGGCTCTGATCGACCTGGGCTCTCATTGACCTGGGCTCTCGTTGACCTGGGCTCTCAATGACCTGGGCTCTCGTTGACCTGGGCTCTCATTGACCTGGGCTCTCATTGACCTAAGCTCTGATTGACCTGGGCTCTCATTGACCTGGGCTCTCATTGACCTGGGCTCTCATTGACCTAGGCTCTGATCGACCTGGGCTCTCATTGACCTGGGCTCTCGTTGACCTGGGCTCTCAGTGACCTGGGCTCTCGTTGACCTGGGCTCTCATTGACCTGGGCTCTCATTGACCTAGGCTCTCATTGACCTGGGCTCTCATTGACCTGGGCTCTCATTGACCTAGGCTCTGATCGACCGGGCTCTCATTGACCTGGGCTCTCGTTGACCTGGGCTCTCAGTGACCTGGGCTCTCGTTGACCTGGGCTCTCATTGACCTGGGCTCTCATTGACCTAAGCTCTGATTGACCTGGGCTCTCATTGACCTGGGCTCTCATTGACCTGGGCTCTCGTTGACCTGGGCTCTCATTGACCCGGGCTTTCATTGACCTGGGCTCTCATTGACCTGGGCTCTCATTGACCTGGGCTCTCATTGACCTAGGCTCTGATCGACCTGGGCTCTCATTGACCTGGGCTCTCGTTGACCTGGGCTCTCAGTGACCTGGGCTCTCGTTGACCTGGGCTCTCATTGACCTGGGCTCTCATTGACCCGGGCTCGGACTGACTTGGGCTTTAATCTAGGCTCTCATCAATTGCCTGGTGTGTTTCGTTGCCCTGGTTCAGACACTCACGCTGTCACTACGCAGTCAAGAATTACCACGATTTGAAATGGATCTCTTAGCGCTGCTAACATAGTAGAAACAGCCTAAAGCTAATCGCTAGGTGCCCAAGTTAGAAACAGTCTATGCTTGATTTCAGGGTGCGAAGGTAGAGCAACCCAAAGCTGATGACTAGGTTATCTCTGACCTAACTGCAAGTGACCCCACATTTCTCGAGGCTAACCTATGACTGACCTAATCTGTGTTGGGCTTGCTTGTGCTTGGCCTAGCCTGGGACTAGGCATGAGCAAATAGCGACTTGTTTTAGTAACGAGGCGACGCGAGTTTTACTCTTTACTCGTCCAAAAAGGCGAGTAACCTACCTATTTGTCACGGATAAGAAAATGATCACAGCGACGCAAGTGATACTCGCCTTGCCAGGAACACCTGATTTTGAGTTCATTATTTTTCATGGAAACATTGATCTGCAACCTCTCCCCCCCCCCCCCCCCCCCCCCCCCCACACCCACCCCCCCCCCCCCCCCCCTCCCCTCCCCCCCTCCCCCCTCCCCCCCTCCCCCCCCCCCTCCCCCCCTCATGAAAGTACTTTCATTTTCGCCTATATTCGCCTGTTAGTGTCCTAGCATCTGACTGACCTGCCTTGTCATTGTCCTACCTGCGGTTGACCTGGTTTCTGTTTGTTCTTGCTTGTGCTTAACCTTACTGGTGATTGGCCGAGCTTGGGACTGTTGCAGCCTCCGACTGGCCTAATCTGTGAGTGACCTAGCTTGTAGCTTACCCAGCTTGTCACCAACTTGGCCTCTGAATGACTATCATAGGCCCTGACTAACCTAGCGTGTGGGGGGGCTAGATTCGATGGACCTATCTTGTGAGGGTCTTGCCTCTGACTGACCTTTCGTGTGACTGACCTTTCGTGTGACTGACCTTTCGTGTGACTGACCTTTCGTGTGACTGACCTAGCCTTTGACCAACCTAGTTAGCCTAGCTCCCAACTGGCCCAGTTCCTGACGGACCTGAGTTATCCTGTAAGCAGTGGTTAGATTTGATTCACAATCACATATGACGATGGAGATTTGTTAAGGTTCGCTGCTTGTTTGGGATTTGAATCGCTACCAGGACTGAAAATCTCGTCTTGATTTGGCTGGGATACAGCTAGGCTAGGTGCCGGATTGAGGGGAGGAGGGTAAGATGCCGTTGTTGGAAACTGTGCGACAGAACAAGTGCAGCAAATTTGTGTGGACAGAAAACGTCGGGTAAGGCTGATACGGTCAGGGTGGTTCAGGGTGGTCAATGGATTGGGAAGGAGGTGGCGATATGAATGTAGAGCATTTCTTCTCTTTTTTTTTGCGTCAATCTGACAATATGCCAATTTGCACGGCGGGGCGATAAAAGTTGTTCTTTAATCGCCCTGTAGTATTCTTGTATAGTGTAATGCGTAGTTCCGAGTGCATTATGGATTGCCAAAGGCCAGTGGATTTACACAGTATGCTCGCTAGTGACAGACAAAGGCTATGATTCAACCAGCCTACGACCAACCTAGTCAGTGACTAACCAAGCACGTTTTCCAGCCTCTGATGGACCAGACTTGTGATTCCTTTACAGGTGACCAACTGTGACTGGCCTAGCTTCTGACCACCTACGAGCATGATCATTTTTGCAGCTGTCACGTTGTCTCATCAGTTGCTAATTCTGAGCTTCACCGAAAACAATTCCATTGCGCTCCTTACCACCACCAATAACCCCTTCCACTCACTTATCCCATGCTACTACTCTGGCCTAATACTTTTTGCGATGGCCGAGCCAATTCTGGCTTAATTTATGGCCAGGGTCTGTAAGTTGTCTCTCAAGCCACGTTTGTGAGTCGACTTATGGAATTTGAGCATGTCCAGCAACGTCTCGAGTTTCTTTCGCTACCATTTCTGTTCTCCCAAGCCCTGTCGTTTCAAGTTCCCTCGTTGTGTGCTCGCTCCAGCTTCCCTCACACGCATGCGTGAGCTTAGTTTTCCTCAGTCTTTCGTCTCCAGTAACAAGAAGAGCTGCCAGGGCCACGTTGCATAAGCTATGCCAGGCTGAGGTCTTCGTCCCGCCGTCATTGCTGCTCCATCCACTCCTCATGCGTCCTATCTTACTCTGTTCCTCCTCCTGGCTTCAGTTCTGGCCTTTTGCTCTTGTTTCTTCTGCCACTTTCAGTGGCCCCCACCTACTTACACTGATGTCAAGGTCTGGTGCAAGCCTCGCCTCCCTGCCTCTTTTCACACTGTGGATACAATCAGATTTTGAAATACATAGAAGAAGAGGAGATTCCTGTCTTTGCTTCTCGTGTTCTCTCTTCCCCTCCTCTCCCTTCCTGTCGCCCTACATTTGTGTTTCTTAAAACCCTTTTTTTTTAAACACCAATGTATCCGGGACCATCTGGGTGCTCTGCTAATAAAGCGCGCTCTATCTGAGTGATGCTACACCACCTTCTTACCGGCCCCCTATGTGTACCTCTCCAAGCCTGCATCACAAAAATGCGTGTGTCTGAAAATCATCTGACATTCCGACGGCCGATCGTACGTTTGACGATCATTTGAAAAACGTACGGGGAAAGTCTAAAAAACGTTTGTCTTCGGCGAGATGTTTTCCAGGCACATTCTGAATGTTTGCTCCTAACTGTTTCTTGCCTGTGCGCAGCATTAGGGTTCCGGGGCTAACAGATAGTCGAGCAAGTCTCTTCGTGTGGGAGCAGATTGCGGGAAATTTGTTCTCTCCTAGAATTCCTCGTTTAGACTTTTGTGTATTTGTTACATTTGCATGTTTCCAAAAATGATGTAATTCCCTACGTAACTAGTGTTTCCAAGAGTCTTGTTTAACAAGTTGAGGGAAATTTCACATCTATAAGATTCTAACAAGACCTAAAAAATCTGTAGTCGGGGGTCAATTTGATGTTCACCAAAGTCAAAACGCGTTAAAGTTTTCTACGTTTGCTAGTCCTCACCAAACGAACCTATTAAGAAGGCTCACTTCATCGTCCTCACACGAGGGAACGATGTGCACGAGACTGAGAATGCAGTCGACATCAATCACTGCAAAATTATCCTCGCCCTCTGTGGGTAGAAGGCGCTTGCATCCTGTTGACGGGCATAGTCGCTTGTCCTCGGTGTAATACTCCACGTATGCTCCGCGCCTCAGCTCACCATCTCTGCTGTAGTGAAACAGGACAAGACAACGGCCGTACCAGGGGGATCCCTTCCCTGCAAGGTTGATTGCAACAGAGGAGAAGTTCTTCCCGCCCGGGCTAGCCTTGACAAACTGCCCTCTTGACGTCCACTCCATCTTGTCGTGGGGCGGAATCGCAAGAGCCGTGTGCACCTGAAACCACGAGCATGAACCAAGAAAATGGGTTTTGGGTGCGAAGGAGGCGATGGAGAGCACACCGAAAGGGGGGAATTGGCTAAGGGCTGGAGGGGGTGGAAAAGCATTTTGGAGAGGGGAAAGCGGGGCTGGCGTGGGTGGAAAGCATGCAGGAGAGGGGGAAGCTGGGCTGGCGTGGGTGGAAAGCATGCAGGAGAGGGGGAAGCGGGGCTGGCGTGGGTGGAAAGCATGCAGGAGAGGGGGAAGCGGGGCTGGAGTGGGTGGAAAGCATGCAGGAGAGGGGGAAGCGGGGCTGGCGTCGGTGGAAAGCATGCAGGAGAGGGGGAAGCGGGGCTGGCGTGGGAAGAAAGCAGGCAGGAGAGGGGGAAGCGGGCCTGGCGTGGGTGGAAAGCATGCAGGAAAGGGGGAAGCGGGGCTGGCGTGGGTGGAAAGCAGCATGAGAGTGGGAAGCGGGGCTGTAGTGGGTGGAAAGCATGCAGGAGAGGGGGAAGCGGGGCTGGCGTGGGTGGAAAGCATGCATGAGAGGGGGAAGCGGGGCTGGAGTGGGTGGAAAGCATGCAGGAGAGGGGGAAGCGGGGCTGGCGTTGGTGGAAAGCATGCATGAGAGGGGGACGCGGGGCTGGAGTGGGTGGAAAGCATGCATGAGAGGGGGAAGCGGGGCTGGAGTGGGTGGAAAGCATGCAGGAGAGGGGGAAGCGGGGCTGGAGTGGGTGGAAAGCATTTTGGAGAGGGGGAAGCGGGGCTGGCGTGGGTGGAAAGCATGCAGGAGAGGGGAAAGCGGGGCTGCCGTGGGTGGAAAGCATGCAGGAGAGGGGGAAGCGGGCCTGCCATGACCAGGAATGCACCTGCAAGACTTGCGTGTTGATGCCTGCCCGTTTGAGGCGCACAACCATCGCACTCATGGCGGGTTCGCCAACAGTCAAGACGTAGCTCCGAAACACTGAGTCGGTGATGTCCCCCAGGACCATCTTCTTGTGGGTCTTTGTAAGCACCCTCCGGCCCTTCAGGCATGCCTGTCACCGTGGAGAGGAGAGGGATGGTATAGGGAGGGGGAGGGTTGAATGGTGAGTGCTTCTGGAGGGAGGAGGAGGGGCAGGGGATAGCGGATGGAGGCGGGGTTTTAGGCGAAGGAGCGGGCCAGGGAGAGGGGGAATGGGTGTGGGGGAAAGGGTCAGAGGTTGTGGGGACGAAGAAGGGGATGGGGGGGTAGGAATCGATTACTTCGGTTAGCGTTGGTCCTAAATGTGATTGCCAACTCATGCAGAGAGCAGGGAACCAGACATTGGGGCAAAGAGAATGGCTTACAGAACATGACACAGAGCAGGGCAGACACAGAAGGGAACAAAGCAGAGAACCAGTGAAGGGAACAGCGCAGGCCACAGAGGAGGGCAGACACAGAATGGAACAAAGCAGAGAACCAGTGAAGGGAACAGCGCAGGGCATCGAGGAGGGCAGACACAGAATGGAACAAAGCAGAGAACCAGTGAAGGGAACAGCGCAGGGCACAGAGGAGGGCAGACACAGAATGGAACAAAGCAGAGAACCAGTGAAGGGAACAGCGCAGGGCATCGAGGAGGGCAGACACAGAATGGAACAAAGCAGAGAACCAGTGAAGGTAACAGCGCAGGGCACAGAGGAGGGCAGACACAGAATGGAACAAAGCAGAGAACCAGTGAAGGGAACAGCGCAGGGCATCGAGGAGGGCTGACACAGAATGGAACAAAGCAGAGAACCAGTGAAGGGAACAGCGCAGGGCACAGAGGAGGGCAGACACAGAATGGAACAAAGCAGAGAACCAGTGAAGGGAACAGCGCAGGGCATCGAGGAGGGCAGACACAGAATGGAACAAAGCAGAGAACCAGTGAAGGTAACAGCGCAGGGCACAGAGGAGGGCAGACACAGAATGGAACAAAGCAGAGAACCAGTGAAGGGAACAGCGCAGGGCATCGAGGAGGGCAGACACAGAATGGAACAAAGCAGAGAACCAGTGAAGGGAACAGCGCAGGGCATCGAGGAGGGCAGACACAGAATGGAACAAAGCAGAGAACCAGTGAAGGGAACAGCGCAGGGCATCGAGGAGGGCATACACAGAATGGAACAAAGCAGAGAACCAGTGAAGGTAACAGCGCAGGGCACAGAGGAGGGCAGACATAGAATGGAACAAAGCAGAGAACCAGTGAAGGTAACAGCGCAGGGCACCGAGGAGGGCAGACACAGAATGGAACAAAGCAGAGGACCAGTGAAGGTAACAGCGCAGGGCACAGAGGAGGGCAGACACAGAATGGAACAAAGCAGAGAACCAGTGAAGGTAACAGCGCAGGGCACAGAGGAGGGCAGACACAGAATGGAACAAAGCAGAGAACCAGTGAAGGGAACAGCGCAGGGCATCGAGGAGGGCAGACACAGAATGGAACAAATCAGAGAACCAGTGAAGGTAACAGCGCAGAGCACAGAGGAGGGCAGACATAGAATGGAACAAAGCAGATAACCAGTGAAGGTAACAGCGCAGGGCACAGAGGAGGGCAGACACAGAATGGAACAAAGCAGAGAACCAGTGAAGGGAACAGCGCAGGGCATCGAGGAGGGCAGACACAGAATGGAACAAAGCAGAGAACCAGTGAAGGGAACAGCGCAGGGCACAGAGGAGGGCAGACACAGAATGGAACAAAGCAGAGAACCAGTGAAGGGAACAGCGCAGGGCATCGAGGAGGGCTGACACAGAATGGAACAAAGCAGAGAACCAGTGAAGGGAACAGCGCAGGGCACAGAGGAGGGCAGACACAGAATGGAACAAAGCAGAGAACCAGTGAAGGGAACAGCGCAGGGCATCGAGGAGGGCAGACACAGAATGGAACATGGCATGGAAGCAGTGCAGGGAACAGAGCTGGGAAACAGAACAGGGCGTTGAGTAGGGGCGACACATCATGGAACATAGCAGGGTGACAGAGCAGAACACAAAGAAGGGGAAATGACCATTGGGAACAGAGCAGTGGGAGAGAGCATGAGAACCGAGCATGGAAACAGAGCAGGGGGAGAGAGCATGAGAACCGAGCAGGGAAACAGAGAAGGCGAGAGAGCATGAGAAACAAGCAGGGAAGCAGAGCACGGGGAGAGAGAAAGAGAATTGAGCAGTGAAGCAGAGCAGGGGGGGAGAGCATGAGAACCGTGCAGGGAAACATAGCAGGGGGGGAGAGCATGAGAACCGTGCAGGGAAACATAGCAGGGGGGGAGAGCATGAGAACCGTGCAGGGAAACATAGCAGGGGGGGATAGCATGAGAACCGAGCAGTGGAAACAGAGCAGGGGGAGAGAGCATGAGAAACTAGCAGCGAAACAGAGCAGGGGAGAGAGCAAGAGAATTGGGAAACCACAAAACAGAGCAGGGGCAGAGAGCAACAGAAGGGAGCAGGGAAACAGAGCAGAGGGAAAGAGCAAGAGAACCGAGCAAGGAAACAGAGCAGGGGGAGAGAGCATGAGAACCGAGCAAGGAAACAGAGCAGGGGGAGAGAGCATGAGAACCGAGCAAGGAAACAGAGCTGGGGGAGAGAGCATGAGCAGATTTGTAAAGCTCACCTCTTTCATCGAGGTCTCGTACGTGCTGTCCCCGCCGGCCTCCCGCGCTAGTTGTCTAACTACCGCATGCTCCAGGTGTTTCCGGACAATTCGATCTTCAACATTCTTCCAGTTGGTGCCACGTGAAGGACGCTTCACAGTGGTCTTGTGGGAGTGCTCGTAGCAGTTCGACGAGTACTCGGCAGGGATCCCCCGAAGACGTATGGTTGATGGGAGGTGAACGAGGAGATGAATCTTAACAAGTTTCCACTTTGACTCCTGCTTTGGGAAAGCGACACGAAGAGCCTTCACCATCCTGGGAATAAAATTTAGATACAGCGCATGCAGTTAAGGGGGGGGAAAGCAGGCCGGGAAGGGAGAAACGGGATGCGGGAGGGGGAGTGAGGAAGCATTCGCGAAAAGAGAAACACGGAAGGAGGGATCAGGAAGGTGGGTTATGGAATGACAGCGATGCAGTTCAGAGGGAGAAGATGTGTCATGCAAAACCTTGATGGAAGGAGTGCAGCCAAAGGTCATGGAGTACTCGTACTATGGAGCCTGGGAGATTTTTGCACGGAATGGAGAAACAGGTGAGTATGAAGGTGAAGCTGGTATGGAGCTGAGCAACAAGCTCGGTATTGTACAAATGGGATGTAATGTGCATTGTGACTGGATGAAGAGAAGGGAAAGAGGAGGACATGGTGCGTTGGGAGAAATATGGTAAGGCTGGCAACAAATGAACAGAGAAGGCAAGCCTATGAAAGAGGGTGGGTGGAGCATGTAAGGTACGGTTGAGACAAGGAAACTGTGTGCATGTGGCATTGAATGGCTTGGGAAACCACCAAAAAGACGGAGTAATTACTTGATGGTGGCGTCTTTCATCCGTTTCAGAGAGTCATCGGTATGGTACTCAGCGCGGATGAACTCCTTGTACCACTCGACCATAAGCACAATGGCTGTGCGAATATCTTCTCGTCCTGGGAGATCGATGATGAGGGGCAGGACCTGCATCATTGCCCGATGCTCTGAAGCTGAAAAGCAGGCAGTGGATGTGAAGTAGGCCCACGCCGAAGGAAGACGGAGCACGGAAGCTGGTGTGACCTCCTTCAAGATCTTGTATCGCCTAGACGTGAGAAACAGTTCAGCAGGGCGCGGAAAGCAAGCACGGAGGGGAGTAGCATGAAGCAGGGAGGCGGAAGCAAGCACGGAGGGGAGTAGCATGAAGCAGGGAGGGGGAAGCAAGCACGGAGGGGAGTAGCATGAAGCAGGGAGGGGGAAGCAAGCACGGAGGGGAGTAGCATGAAGCAGGGAGGGGGAAGCAAGCACGGAGGGGAGTAGCATGAAGCAGGGAGGGGGAAGCAAGCACGGAGGGGAGTAGCATGAAGCAGAGAGGGGGAAGCAAGCACGGAGGGGAGTAGCATGAAGCAGGGAGGGGGAAGCAAGCACGGAGGGGAGTAGCATGAAGCAGGGAGGGGGAAGCAAGCACGGAGGGGAGTAGCATGAAGCAGGGAGGGGGAAGCAAGCACGGAGGGGAGTAGCATGAAGCAGGGAGGGGGAAGCAAGCACGGAGGGGAGTAGCATGAAGCAGGGAGGGGGAAGCAAGCACGGAGGGGAGTAGCATGAAGCAGGGAGGGGGAAGCAAGCACGGAGGGGAGTAGCATGAAGCAGGGAGGGGGAAGCAAGCACGGAGGGGAGTAGCATGAAGCAGGGAGGGGGAAGCAAGCACTCCAGAAGAATCTTCCGTTCCTGTGGAGTCAGCTTCTTCACAAGGCACTTCATGGCATGCAGCCATATGCCCTGCTCCCAGATGTGCATGATGTCCGGGGGGACAGCGAGGTACGTGTTGCCCCAGAGAGTTTTTGCAAATTCCCAGTCCCACAAAAGGCTCTGCATTGGGGGTCAAGGACACAGAGTCACTATGACGGGTCAGGGTAATAAATACGAACAGCAAGCCGCAGATTGGATTAGGTTTTCAAGCATATTAGCCACCACAGTACATGGTGGATATGGAGGGAAACCAGGTGTGAACCGCTACGAAGCACGCAGAACAAGCGCACCTTCACGAAGTGTGTAGAGGACTTCTTCTTCACCGCCTTTAGCTTCTTTTTGGTTTTCGCGTCGTCCATCTCCTTGTAAGCATCCTTCTGACCCTTGACAGTTCTGAGGACAATGGCGTCTTCCTGGTTCTTTTGGGTTGTCGCGGATTCCTTCTGACCCTTGTCATTTCCGAGGACAGTGGTGTCATCCTGTTCATCCTGGCGCTTCTTATCAGGAGGCTGTTGAGTCAACTCAAATTTCATCTCATCCAATCGCTCCTTTTCCACCAAGCACAACGAGCACGGATGCCCAGAGTTGCATGCCATCGTACAAGTGATCTTAGAGGACTCCGGGTGATCCGCCACCCATGAGTAAAGGAGCGTGAATGCCCTATACTGCACACCGGCACTGTCTTCCACCATCACACCGCCTCTGCACAGCCGCTAGTATGTGTGGGAAAACAGGGAGAGGGACGGGGAGGGCGAGAATGGGAGAACATGTTAGATATGTCATAAATGGTGTGAGCATGGGATGCTGTAACCAAGCAGACGAAGGACGGTTAGGAGGAGGGGGACAGCGAGCAGGGAGGGTGTAAACGGCAGGAGATGGTGGAACAGGAGGTACCGGAACGGTATTAGGTGAAGCGGATGGTAGCTGGCAGGAGAGTAATGACAGAATCCGCCTTGGTGGCACGCATTCAAAACAACAACAGAGGAGAAGGGCGGTCAAAAAGGGAGTGGAGTGTGTATGAAACAGGGAACGGAAAAAAGTGGTGGTGTGGATACTGGAGAGTACAAGGGATGCGCGCCCTTGGGTGACATTAGCAGTGTCTCACCCTGAAAGATGTGAAGCCGCCTTCAAATCTCGAATCATGATCTCTGCAGCGTCTTGGAACACTCGAACCTTTTCTTCTGGAGAGAGGTCAGCTGGGATATTCGGCAGGAACCCGAGAAGCTCAGTGCCTCCTTCCAGCCACCTAGCCCATTCTGGAATATTCCCAAAGGACAACAGAAATGGGTGGGCAGATTGGCGGCCGTTGTACGATAGATTGGTCTGGTCCGAGAAGAGAATGAGCGCTATAACTATGCCAAACTTCCGCACCCTCTCCTGCCACAGTGATGATAAAGGGAAGGATAGATGTATTGGATCCTAGGTTTCGATGCTCGTGTCCAAAGCGACATGAGATGACGTGGAACTTACCCATGCCTCGAGCATCCAATCCGTGTTTGCAGGGGTACTGTAGCGGCGAACCCCATCAACTTTCCACTCTTGAGGCATGATGCTGAATCCCTTGACAGCCGACATCTTCTTGAACATGGCCTGAAGGAGCTGATGGTGATAATCATGGAAACAATGATCGAAAACAGAGGCGTAAGATTGATGGTTCCCTTTAGACTCTTGGTCTAGTCGTCATCACTGAACACATTCCACTCTGACGACCGTGACACCGCACGACGGATACACTCACAGTTATCGCGTTTCGGCGCTTGAAGGTGAGAAACCCAACTTCGTGATCCACTTCGATCTCCTCGACGATCCATTCGTGCTCCGCTCCAAGGTCAAAGCTGCTCTCGTACTTCTCCAGGTCCCTGTAGCTGTTCCAATCGTCCAGCTGCTTTGGATCCAATTTCGGATGTCTAACTAACTGTATCGTGTCGTGAATCGCCCCGTTGGTAAGTCCGTGAGATTGTGCCAAAATGCATATTTCCGCCTTAACATCGAGAATTTCCTCTGTAGGAGCTTCTTCCACCACGAGTGTGGTGCTACACGTATGAACCGCATCAGGAATTCGCTGTGCCGGCTGGGGCTGCTGCTCTACTGCGTTCGGAAGTGCTGCTAAGGGAATTGAATGCGCTGGTGCGGGAAGGGTGGATGTTGATAACGGGACAGAGGTATACTGCTTCTCAACGTCACGACACAGCTTCTTTCGTTCAGCAGCCTCTTGAGCCTTGCGTCTTTGGGCCCGCTTACAGCCGCCATGGTTAGCTTGATGGCTAGCTACTGTTTGATAGCAGTACACGCGCTTATTACAGAACTCGCAAGCCTGACCCTCCATCGAGCAGATCTGTCCGTAGGACGGAAATGGTGTTTGGCACACCAGCTTGAGACGTGAATGGTAACACTGCACCGTGGTGAGTTAGCGCCCATCGTATGGTCGATAGTTTACTGAAAGGCGAGGGAATGATTTGGCGCGCACACGAATTCGCGATCTGAGTCTGAGCATATGGTGGCCGTGACTCTGATTGGCGAATGGTCATCGAGTGTTAGACGTTGGTTCGCAATTGGTTAGGGTTTGTGATGTACTGCTCGAAGTGTTAGGTCACACTGTTTATTGGTGCGCGACAACCGCGCAGGTAGGCGAATGGGCCTTGCGACTCTCATACTCAGCATCTCCCGGCGTAACTGGTTTCGCGAACTGCTTTCTTGTCGCAGCAAGCTGACGAGGTTTTGTACCCAACAGGAAACAAGTTGGCGAGGGTAGTTTCGGCTTGCGACATGGACCTGACATCATTTTCGCGTACACGCCAATTGTGTCAGAATAATACAAGCCGCAAAAATGTCATTGGAGCAGAGAATCCTGTCAGACCGCCCAACACTGTTCACAAATTCCACCAGATATCAAGAGCACGCTATTCGCTGACGACGTATGGGAGCAGGGAGCACAAAGTTGACCAACGAAGGGCAAGGGCATGTGGGTCCTCCTTCCGGAACTACAGTACAGTACCTGCTTCGTCTCTTCGTTGAGCTGGCTGGGCAACAGAATTCCGACCCTTACCTTAGGCAAGATCCTCATCAAGCCGAGTTTGCTATCTCAAGGTATGGAGGAGAAGGGCATACCCAAGTTAGGTCGATGTCGTTTCCAGCACATGAGCATGCCATCCCCGTTTGGGGGATCTCTTGAAATCAAGCCCTCAGATTACCGCACGCTGGGAAACGAGCAGTGGATCAGTGGCAAGGTTATCGAGTGGCTCTCATCGTGAGTAGCTCAATTTTGAACACAGGGCAATCTGAAGTGTTAATCCTTGTTTATAGTTTCTCACGAGCTGCACCGACATTGCATATTTTTTTGTCGATCATGCAGAATGTTACATTATGAGTACGGACTCGACAATGCGTCGTGGCTTTGCACATCGCCTTATTTCTGGACCCTCGTAGCACGCCCGGAGACAAAGAGGATCACTAGGCAGGCCTATGGACTTGACATCTTGTCGTTTAAGCACGTTCTTGTTCCGATTAACAAGGAGTAAGTGGTCGGGTCTTTTTGGATATGTGTTGCACGTAAACATGTGCTGCAAACTAACGACTTTGGACGTCTCGATTGCATTGCAGCGCGCACTGGAGCCTCGCTGTCATCGAAATTAAGGCCGCGCCGGAATCCGTTATCCCAATCAAGTGTGTACTGTGGCATGCGGACTCATATGCAACTCACGTCGACATTGATGGGCCATTAAGAAAGTGAGATATGTGCTGCATATGAAACGCCCTTGTTGGGAACCGATGTTAACAAGCAGTACGTCTCAATGCGCAGGTGTTTGATGAGTCAGGTCATGCAGCGCTACGCGTGGGTCACGGAGACCGAAGCAGAGGCCTGGGCAGCTGCGATTCAGTTAAACGCCATAGCGGTATGTGAATTAACGGATTAAGGGAGGAGTGGTGTGGGACGGGCCGCGCAATGAACAAGCATGGTATGCGCTGATGAGTAGGGGAGGGGGTGTTGTGTGCTGCGCATGGACAGACACGGGATGCGCGGATGAGTAGGGGAGGGTGAGTTTTGTGATGCGCATGGAGAAGGCATGGGATGCGCGGATGAGTATGGGAGGATGAGTTTTGTGATGCGCATGGAGAAGGCATGGGATGCGCGGATGAGTAGGGGAGGGTGAGTTTTGTGATGCGCATGGAGAAGGCATGGGATGTGCGGTCGAGTAGGGGAGGGTGAGTTTTGTGATGCGCATGGAGAAGGCATGGGATGCGCGGATGAGTATGGGAGGATGAGTTTTGTGATGCGCATGGAGAAGGCATGGGATGCGCGGATGAGTAGGGGAGGGTGAGTTTTGTGATGCGCATGGAGAAGGCATGGGATGTGCGGTCGAGTAGGGGAGGGTGAGTTTTGTGATGCGCATGGAGAAGGCATGGGATGCGCGGATGAGTATGGGAGGGTGAGTTTTGTGATGCGCATGGAGAAGGCATGGGATGTGCGGACGAGTAGGGGAGGGTGAGTTTTGTGATGCGCATGGAGAAGGCATGGGATGTGCGGACGAGTAGGGGAGGGTGAGTTTTGTGATGCGCATGGAGAAGGCATGGGATGTGCGGACGAGTAGGGGAGGGTGGGTTTTGTGATGAAGATAGAGAGGCATGGGATGCGCGTATGGGATACTCCTCTCCTCCCAACCCTGCTGCTACTCCTCTCCTCCCTTCCCTGCTCCTACTCCTCTACGCCCTTCCCTGCTCCTACTCCTCTCCGCCCTTCCCTGCTCCTACTCCGGAGAAAGTTAAATGCTCCTCCCTTCCCCCCTCCTACTCCTCTCCGCCCTTCCCTGCTCCTACTCCTCTCCTCCCCTTCCAGGCTGCTACTCCTCTCCTCCCCTTCCATGCTGCTACTCCTCTCCTCCCTTCCTTGCTGCTACTCCTCTCATCCCTTCCCTACTGCTGCTCATCTCCTCCCTTCCCTGCTGCTACTCCTCTCCTCCCTTCCCTGCTGCTACTCCTCTCCTCCCTTCCCTGCTGCTACTCCTCTCCTCCCTTCCCTGCTGCTACTCCTCTCCTCCCTTCCTTGCTGCTACACCTCTCTTCCCTTCCTTGCTGCTACACCTCTCCTCCCTTCCTTGATGATACTCCTCTCCTCCCTCCCTGCTGCTACTCATCTCCTCCCTTCCCTGCTGTTGCTCCTCTCCTCCCTTCCCTGCTGCTGCTCCTCTCCTCCCTTCCCTACTGCTGCTCCTCTCCTCCCTTCCCTGCTGCTGCTCCTCTCCTTCCTTCCCCCCTCCTACTCCTCACCTCTCTTCCCCCATCCTACTCCTCTCCTCCCTTCCCCCCCTCCTACTCCTCTCCTCCCTTCCCTGCTGCTACTCCTCTCCTCCCTTCCCTGCTCCTACTCCTCTCCTCCCCTTCCCTTCTGCTACTCCCCTCCGCCCTTCCCTGATGCTACTCCTCTCCTCCCTTCCCTGCTGCTACCCCTCTCCTCCCTTCCCTGCTCCTACTCCTCTACGCCCTTCCCTGCTCCTACTCCTCTACGCCCTTCCCTGCTCCTACTCCTCTCCGCCCTTCCCTGCACCTACTCCTCTCTGCCCTTCCCTGCTCCTACTCCTCTCCGCCCTTCCCTGCTCCTACTCCTCTCCGCCCTTCCCTGCTCCTACTCCGGAGTGTGAGTTGTGTGATGCGCATGGAGAAGGCATGGGATGCGCGGATGAGCAGGGAAGGTGGGGGGGGCGGGTAGGGGGGGGGGGGGAAGGGGCTGGAGCGCTGAAAGCTGCTCATGGTAACGCCTTGTATGAATCACCTGATTTTTGTGCAATCTGCAGGTGCGCCAGCAGGACAACGAGAATGACTGCGGCGTTTTTGTGATGCGTGTCATTCATACGCTTGTCGAGACCAAGTTCGACTGTTTGAATGCGTGTGACCTGGTCGGGACACCAAGACAGTGGAGGCGCCAATATCGTCACGATTTGGCTAAGTGGTCCTGTGTCGTTGGACCATGCAAGTAGTTTGATCCAGGCTGATCGAAACCCCTAAGCCTGCTTGCTAGTAGTTAGTGACATGCATTAGCACCTGACGTTCTGCTGCGTTGTACTGCTCATCGTTTGATGCAAACTTGCCTGACAGTTTGATAACTGATTTACACCGGACAGTAAGCTATAAGAAATCCATTGCATACCCTATGGACTCGTAGAAACACGATTACAAGCGCGCCCGGGAAACACATAATCGTTCTATTGCAGCACCCTAGATAAGGTGGTATGCATCGGCCGATGAATGCAGCAATGAGGCCACTACGCCGGGGCTATATTCACCAGAGATGCAACATCTACATGGCATGCCAGTTGTTGGTGTGAAACTGACTGTGCTTGCTCTCAACAATTGCATAGTGCGTATTGATGGCTGTAGACTTGGACGTTGTTAAAGACAGAGTGTGATGGCACTCACGCCTAGTATTCACCCTATATCGCCAATGATGATTTTGGTTGAGGTATATGTTGTTTCCTAGACTGCTAGTTTATGCATGAAGGATTGCTGTTTCGAAACACCCTATTCTTAACTACTTTATAAGTTAGTTTATGTAAACAAGTATTCCATATTACCCTAATTCGTCATACTCAAATAACGTCAGCCCAGGAACATCCTCGCTACAAAGAGTGGTGCTACAAAATCGAAATTTCAACGCAACCACGAGGGGCACTCACGTACCGCGATGTTCGAAATCCACCACGGCTCGAAGCGCGCTAGTGCACGGACAACGCTCTTTCAAATTGCTGCTGTCACATTGGTGTTTTTTTTTTTTGTCCTTGTTATTTTGTAGTGCGGCAAAGGCCTGGTTCGGTTCCCGTACTCACGCTTGTAATTACTTACTCGAACGCCCCCGCGACTAGCCCTATTAGGCTGCTCAAAACTAGGATTTGAAATAATGGCGCATTGCCATCGCGTGCCCTGCAACTTCAAGGGCAGTTGAACTGTCGTGATCCACCACCACCACCCAGCGTGCTGCCATGTGGGAATTCGTTACAGGAACAAGGATCTGGAGCCGACGCTCGATCAAGAGGGGAGGCCACGATACCCTCCACGCCCGAAGCACCCAGTTTGTCTAGCTGGTAGCAGTTAGGTTCTCCTCACGATATCCCTCTACGGTAGGTACGTCAAGCAACTGCTATCTGTTCGTCCATGTAGATGGTTCCTCTGGCACTCTATGCAAAGTGAGAAGCTGTTTGTGCTAGCCACGTAATAGTTGTCACGGTGCTGTTCTCATACTAGTAGACACGTCCTGCTTGGCGCGGCGGTGCTGTTCTCGTAGTAGGCACGTCCTCCTTTGGCGCGGCGGTGCAGGAACAGAATAGGCTCGTGGCGCGGTGGTGCTGGTCTCGTAGTAGGCTTGTACTGCTTGGCGCGGCGGTGCTGGTCTCGTTGTAGGTTCGTCATGGTTTGGCGCCGCGGTTCTGTTCTCGGACGGCGCGTCCAGAAATGACGCGTGTCGCGGCTGTTCTATCTTGCACGACTTTGGTCGGCGCGTTTCGTGGGCACGTAGTGCGATTGCGCGCTGCTGTTCTGGCAGGCATGTCCAGCTCGCGCGCTGCTGTTCCTTGAGTCTCTAAGGCCTATTTATAGAATCTCTGAGCACGTGGGTTTCATAGCTCAGTTCGGTAGCCGTTAATTGTGCTTGTTTAGCAGAATTGTTAGAGAGATGGCGGACATCATCGTTACCGATCCGGCCAATGCTAGTGCGCTCCTCGGTAGCGCTGGAGCTCTACAACTCTCGGGCGACGCGAGAACCGACGCAGAACAGAAGCTGCACGACAAGATGACGCCTCATGATACCTCGCACCTAGTTGTGAGGTATCGTCGGAAGAACACGCTTCCTGCACGCGATGCCCAGTTGGAATCGGAAGGGGCATCTTCTTCGGATGGTGAGCAATCTGAGGAAGAGGCATACAATGGCAAGGTTGGTCGCAGCAGTTCACGCGGGCGGAGGAACGGTCGAAAGCTGAAGCCGTTGGACCAGTGTAAACCTGCTACAGGGAGGAAAGGTACGGATCAAGCTTTTATATCCATTCTGCGTTTGTATGTCTTAAAGTTGCTCGTTGTTAGCCTGGCTGTGTATGCACACAATCCAGAGAGGTGCGGCCCTCGTATTATCTGAGCATATCGTCTTGATGCGTGTTGTAGGTACACGCGCCGGTGCCAAGAGCAAGAAAAGGGGAAAACAAGACGCAGCGGGTGCAACAGGACATGGAGAAGATGCAGACGACGAGGAGCAACAGCCAGAGAAAGGGCATAAGCGTGAGGACGAGCGTGAGGGAGAGCGTGAGGGCAGGAGAGAGGGTGAGCGTGAGGGCAGGCGTGAGGGCAGGCGGGAGGGCAGGCGTGATGGCAGGCGGGAGGGAGAGCGTGAGGCTGAGAGAGAGGGAGAGCGAGAAGGTGAGCGAGAGGGAGAGCGAGAGGGAGAGCGAGAGGGAGAGCGTGAAAGAGAGCGTGTTGTGAAGCGTGAGGGAGAGCGTGATGTGCAGCATGAGGGAGAGCGTGATGTGCAGCACGAGGGAGAGCGTGAGGTGAAGCGTGAGGGAGAGCGTGATATGACGCGTGATGAGTCTTCTCCCTCTACTCCAGCAGGTGCCTGTGCGGATGATGCACAGAATGTTCGTGGTCATGGGGAGGGTGGGAGGGAGAGACGTGGCGCAGAGTTAGATGATCAGAGAGGGGTGTCAGGGAGAGTGAAGGCACGGGCCAGAAATGCTGGAAAGAAGGCCGTTGCAGAGGTGGAATCTTCAGATGAAGATGATAGTTCTGAGGAGGAATCAGGGAGTTCCTCCGGGAGCGAGGAGAAGTATGATGAGGAGGAGGACGAGAGTGATGACGCTGAATCTGAGTCCGGGAGTGATGACGACGGTAGGAGAGGGGGGAGGGCACGAGGAGCACGCAACCACCGCTATAGTGGAAAGCGTGGTCATGCAACCGGTGGTAAGGCCGGTAATGGACGTAAACGGCAGAGACGTCGAGAGCGTGCTCAAGGAAAGCGCACAGAATCTGAGGGACCCAATCGGCATCGTAAGGAGCGTCCTGTTGTGAGACAGGACCTTCGCTTCTACGATGAGATGAGGACCTTGGGTCACTCGGAAGATGCTGGACCGTCGAATCGTCGGGAGACCGTTCGGATGAAACAGGCAGCAACCAACGATCCGTATGCTGCCCTTGCTTCTACCTCAGGATTGGGAAAGAGGGCGTCTCGATTTCAAGATCGGAGCGTGCGTGAGAACGCTGGCCAGCAGCATGACAACACGCTCAATCCAGCCGGTGGTGGTGACGATCTGGCCTGGGGTGGGGGGGCTGGGAGCGAATGAGGGTGAGGCGTGTGGTGTTGGAGATTGGTTCAATGATGAAAGGAAAGTTGGACGCTCTGACCCAGCAACTCCCCTCCCGTTTGCATCGGCAGGAGGCAATTCCCCGCTCAACGCTAGCGGAGTGCCCATCATTCCTTCAAGCACCACTCCTAATGATTCCATGCAGCAACTCTTTCAGGCTTTGCAGGAAGCTAATAGGCAGATCGCAGAGCTGAAGGCCGGTCGGGGACCTTTGGTGGACCGGGGGGAAACGGGACGCAACTCCCGCCGCTTACCTCGATCTCCAGCGAGCAACCTGAGCCGCCCGAAACGCCGGGCGCTGTGGCGGAGAGTGCTATTCAAGGCACTCCAATCACCAGGAGGCATGGGATGCCTAATGCAACAAATCTGAAGGTAAGTGCCACCCATCTCACTTACCCATTGGTGGACCCTACTCGCTGGCTTGTACATTATATCATTCTATTGTCCCCAACCGCGCATTACCATTCTTATTCTTTGTTTGTCTAGTCATTCCCACTCTCTGGAATCATTCCATGCAGTGACCTTTTCTCATTCACAATCTCCGTTTTACCCTTCATTCCCATTTTCTGGTTTGCCCTTTGTTTTCATTCTCTGGTTTAACCCTCCTCATCCTCTGGTGGTACACCTCATTCTCATGCTATGGTTCACCCCTCATTCTAAGACAAATGGTTCCCACCATTCTCTTTCTCTGGTTCCAATCCGTGCATTTGCTCATTCTCGTGCAGTCCCTGGTTTTACATGCTTTTTTGCGTATCCCATTCTTGTCCCATGGTCATTATCATTCACATTATCTTGGTTTTTCAATCCTATTGGCTGGCCCGTCCGTGGCAATGGCTCGTCCACTAGTTTTCTCTGGTTTTCCGTTTCAACCGGATAATTTTGCACCTCCTCTGTCATTGTGGTTTACCTTTACATTGTTGGTCCCTTTATGTCGTATTGAACAGCTCTACATGGAAGAAGCTCGGACGCGCATGTGTATGGAGGCTGAGGACCATCTCATCACGTTCTATCCAAGCTTTGAGAAGGGCATTCTTGTTTTGCACGAAGTTATTTCCGAGCACTACGTGGTTCCCTTGATCATACTCAAGGAGGCCATGGCAGATAAAACGCGCAGGGATGCATTCAAGCGCGTGTACACTCAGTGGAAGAACGAGCGTGGGTTTTACGTCAAACGCACCGTGCTCGAGGGTTTGGGGGTTCCCATGAGTGGCTTGCGGGCGGCGGGAAATTCACATCGACACCGAGCTCAAGGAGGAACTCTGGGGGGAGTTTGGCCCGAGTGAGTAAACATAAGCTTGTCATTTTCCCCCACCTTCCCCCCCTCCCCCCTTTCTCACCATCTCAACCCTAGCACCCCTATCTTGCAACATCCCATATTCCGTACTTGTTGTCTTAAAAGGTACTTTACATCACCCCCTAAACCCTTTTCCCATATCACACCCCAACCCTTGGACCACTTTTGTTCGAGCATGTTGCAGGTGCGGACGCCCTACTGAGCACATGGGGAAATGCCGAGGATAGTGATCTCCCGTTCGGCAACGAGATTTCTTCAACGCGGCCATGGACGCATTTGGTGAATTTGCCGTGGGGAACGACATTTGCTTGAAGGCATATCACATTGCATGGACTATCTTGGTGGTGAGTGACTTGTTAGGGCCCTTTAGCGTGTTTCCTCTAGACGGATCTTTTTTCCTTGTGTTTCCACCTGCCCCATGCCATCAACCCTAAACCTTATGCACTCGTGTTTCCAACTTTCCCCTCCGTTGCTCCTTGAAACCCAGGTTTCCACTCCTCTCGAGTTGTACCCTAAACCCTCTGGTTGCACTCTTCCACTCACGGACTTACATTGTTAATCCTTTTCTCCTTTCTCCTCACATCCATGCAGTACCCATCAGAACCCTAAACCCCTCAGGTGTTTCCAAACATTCATTGGTTCCCCATTTCCTTCTAAAGCTGCGCCCACTCATGTCTCATGCTCACATTCTAGCACTGGCGTACTTTCCTGCATCTTGCGATTGCCCCGCATAACCATAAACCTCTCACACATCCTTATCAAGCTTGAATTTGTTCATGATTTCCATTCTTGACAACGCAGATCGACTACGGATTGTCGAAGATCAAGAAGTCGACGATGAACCTCACCAACTCCCACCGTAAGAACACGCGGTGGGTGACAAGCATCCGTAGGGCGGTGAAACGGGCGGTGACGGATCATTTCCGCCAGGTGAACCCTGTGTACGATCCACGGATGAAAGGGTTTAAGTGGGGGAACTTCGGCTTGTTCGTCCATGAGTCGGGGCTCGAGGAGTATAGGCCTAGACCACAACCCCGCAACCCGACAAGGAGGGCGGCTTCAGGTCACGTCTAGAGGAGATGAATGGTGGAATTGCAGCAGAGAATGGAGGAGAGGAGTAGCAGCAGGGAAGGGAGGAGAGGAGCAGCAGCAGGGAAGGGAGGAGAGGAGCAGCAGCAGGGAAGGGAGGAGAGGAGCAGCAGCAGGGAAGGGAGGAGAGGAGTAGCAGCAGGGAAGGGAGGAGAGGAGTAGCAGCAGGGGAAGGGAGGAGAGGAGTAGCAGCAGGGAAGGGAGGAGAGGAGTAGGATGGGGGAAGAGAGGTGAGGAGTAGGAGGGGGGAAGGAAGGAGAGGAGAAGCAGCAGGGAAAGGAGGAGAGGAGCAGCAGCAGGGAAGGGAGGAGAGGAGCAGCAGCAGGGAAGGGAGGAGAGGAGCAGCAGCAGGGAAAGGGAGGAGAGGAGCAGCAGCAGCGAGGGAGGAGAGGAGCAGCAGCAGGGGAAGGGAGGAGAGGAGCAGCAGCAGGGAAGTGAGGAGAGGAGCAGCAGCAGGGAATGGAGGAGAGGAGCAGCAGCAGGGAAGGACGGGAGGAACAGCAGCAGGGAGGGGAGGAGAGGAGTAGCAGCAGGGAAGGGAGGAGAGGAGTAACAGCAGGGAAGGGAGGAGTATCATCAATGAAGGGAGGAGAGGAGTAGCAGCAGTGAAGGGAGGAGAGGAGCAGCAGGAGGGAAGGGAGGAGAGGGAGCGGCAGCAGAGAAGCGGAGGGGAGGAGCAGCAGCAGGGAAGGGAGGAGAGAAACAGCAGCAGGGAAGGAAGGAGAGGAGTAAGCATCAGGGAAGGGAGGAGGAAGTAGGCATCAGGGAAGGGAGGAGAGGAGTAGCATCAGGGAAGGAGGAGAGGAGGGAGCAGCAGGGAAGGGAGGAGAGGAGGAGCAGCAGGGAAGGGAGGAGAGGAGCAGCAGTAGGGAAGGGAGGAGAGGAGCAGCAGCAGAGAAGGGAGGAGAGGAAGCAGCAGCAGGGAAGGGAGGAGAGGAGTAGCAGCAGGGAAGGGAGGAGAGGAGCAGCAGCAGGGAAGGGAGGAGGGGAGCAGCAGCAGGGAAGGGAGGAGAGGAGCAGCAGCGGGGAAGGGAGGAGAGGAGCAGCAGTAGGAAGGGAGGAGAGGAACAGCAGCAGGGAGGGGAGGAGAGGAGCAGCAGCAGGGAAGGGAGGAGAGGAGCAGCCGCAGAGAAGGGAGGAGAGGAGCAGCAGCAGGGAAGGGAGGAGAGGAGCATCATCAAGGAAGGGAGGAGGAGGTGTAGCAGCAAGGAAGGGAAGAGAGGTGTAGCAGCAAGGAAGGGAGGAGAGGAGTAGCAGCAGGGAAGGGAGGAGAGGAGTAGCAGCAGGGAAGGGAGGAGAGGAGTAGCAGCAGGGAAGGGAGGAGAGGAGTAGCAGCAGGGAAGGGAGGAGAGGAGTAGCAGCAGGGAAGGGAGGAGAGGAGTAGCAGCAGGGAAGGGATGAGAGGAGTAGCAGCAAGGAAGGGAGGAGAGGAGTAGCAGCATGGAAGGGGAGGAGAGGATGCAGCAGAGAGTAGCACAGCAGAGAGGATGCAGCAGAGAGTAGCACAGCAGGGAGGATGTAGCAGAGAGTAGCACAGCAGGGAGGATGTAGCAGAGAGTAGCACAGCAGGGAGGATGCAGCAGGGAGCAGCACAGTAGGGAGAATGTAGCATGGAGTAGCGCAGCAGGAAGCATGCGGCATAGTATGGACCTAGGGGTTGATGTGGGTAGAAGTAGCGCAGGTTGCCAGCTAGGTACCAGAGGATGAGTAGGCATCTACTGTGTTTGTAAGCATTTTTCAAGCTAATATTATGATTTACACGTACATTATTTCCCTCTTACGGTGAATTTATGGAAAGCCCTATACAAACTACCAATTGTGATTTTCAATCTCCAATTGTGGTTTCTTAAATGTTGCATATTCCTATTCCTGTATTATTATGTGCATATAAAAGTGTGAAGCAAAACTTATCCAAGCACAAAAAAGAATCACATAATTTAACCAAATATGATCAAAACGAGTTATCCTAAACACAATGAGAAGTTCCTCACAACTGTTTTAAAAACACTCCAACCATCTACAAAGCATCTGACCATCATCTTGGAAAAGTTCGATACTTTCTTCTAAAAAATTACCGACCCCTACATCTTCAAATCATCTGCAAAAAACACATGAGAAACACATCATGAGAGGTTTTCGGCCACTGATTTTTGTGATGTGGTCATTGTCTCCCTTGTCTGTCTTCTCTGGTTCCTCTTAGCGTTGTGTTTGTTGTTGTACTCTTTCAGCAAATTTCTGCATGTCTTTGCTGTCTCCTCCTACTATGCTTGGCCTGAATGCTTTGCCAGTCGGGGTGAATTGCTTTAACATCAACACCCGATGCAGTCCCTACCCGCTTCACCACTACAATCGTTTCTGCCTTGCTGAGATACTTGTGGTGTCCCTTTCCAACAGCCCATTTTTCAATCAAGTTCCTCTTTTCTGCTACTACTTATCTGCTCTCTTTCTCAATCACTGCCTCATGTCTCATGCTTGTGTAATGGTCTTGTTTGTGTGTCCACTCACACAGGCACCTTCTCCGTCTTTTGTTTTTACGTTTCTGTTTTTTCGCAAAACGTTTAAACCCTTGCCCTTACCCAGGCTTGTTTGCTCTCGCCAGGCAGCAGGGAATGGGGGCAACGGAACGCACGGACAATCAGCCATAGAACAGGGCTGTTTGAGGAGTCAGTGAGTGGATGAGATGGCTGCTGAGAGAGTGCTGAGTGGGCTGAAAGAGTTGTGCAAGGAGGCTGTTTTGGCAGCAGTTAGACGGGAGCTGGCTGCACACAAGGAGGAGGTGGATGAGTTGCGGCACATGCTGCAGCAGTGAAGGGGAGTTGGCAGCGGTGAAAGGGAGTTGGTGGAACATAAAGGGTTACTATGGCAGAGCAATGGGCTGAGGGTAGTAGGGCATCAGATGCAGGAGGCCTGAGAGGGGAGAGTAGAAAGAGAAGGCACGAAATGGTAGCAGAGTTTCCATGGGAGGAGGAGAGGAGGAAAGAGGTGCAGGAGTTAAACCTGCCATGTGCCATGGAGGAATTGGCAGCCGGCAAGGAATGGCAGAAGGTACAAGACGTTGAAAGTGAATGTTACCCGGAAGATCAAGCGGAGTGTAGGCGATAAAAGACTGCATGGCGGCGTGAGTGCTTAGGGGCCTGTTCCATAGAGCATATATTGCTTGCCATCCCTTCCTTATCACCACCATGATCATCCATTCCCTTGCTATGCTTTATCATCTTCGTTCATTTCTTCCAGGCAATCAAGGAAGCATTACAGAAGTCTGATCTGAGCCTGGCGTGTCTCCGCGGCGTCTCAGACGCCATGCTCGTCCATGTGTCCACAATGACGCACCTGACGAGCATTGACTTGGACTCGAGGTCAGGCTTCAGTGCAGAGGGCATCAAACACCTCTACAGGCTGCCCCAATTAGAAAACGCTAAACTTCAATTACACTGATTTCTCAGACAGTGCCTTGGAAGGCATTGGGTCCTTGACCAGTCTCACAGACCTCTCTCTCCATCAGGCCAATGTGACCGATGCCGGACTGTCGCACTTGACACCTCCGTTCTCTCTCAAACACCTGCGGCTTGGTTATTGCAGTGGTGTGACAGATGCCGCATCGTGCATCTGGTGAGGCTTACAGGGCTTGAGAGGCTTGATCTGGATGGCACGGCAGTCACGATGATGGCTGCAGCAGCTGACTGCCCTGACCAAGCTGACACATCTCTATACGCCTTGGCAGCTGAATGCGCCCCCACCAATATGACAATTTCATTTACACAAGTGACAGATCTCTATACCTTGAAGTTGCCTATGTATGCAGACTTATAGGAAGGTATGGTAGGTTGGCAGGGAAGCGCTGTGGAAGGGAGGGAGATGAGTTGAGGGAAGAGTTGGCTGACTGGTATGAGGGCAAGGGGACTGAAGCATGAGGGATGGAGCACATGGATGGCTATGCCAGTCAGAGGCTAGGCTCTTGTTCACAGAATGAGCAACCTCCGTTTGATCCGTACACAAACATGGGTAGTGGAAGCAAGGGGTGTGGATAATAGTGAACACACAACCTATTTCTACACAGCCTGCCAGAAATGCGAATCGCCTGATTAATAAACTTGTCCTTGCCGGGATGTTACACGAGCAAGGGTACCGTAATTTTGTTGGCTGGCTTGGCTTTGAGCCTGCAATGTGAGCCACAATCGACTCACAATCAAATTACATCGTAGGTCTTATGAATGACCTCACCACTTACCACATTCCAAAACAATAAAATCTAATGGTCTTTGAAGAAATAGTACCAGTATCAAAGACCTAGAGGAGGCATTGTTGTGCTCCTTTGTGTTTGTCGCAAGCATGCCGCCGCCTAGGGCACATTGCAAACACACTGTGAACGCCTTGGGACTTGCAGTGTTGATTCTATGCCATTCCAGCCACCTTGGTTCGGCCCGAATCCCAACCACCAACTACCCCAGCTTGCAACCTCCACCAGCCCCACCTCCCTGCATGCCATGTCTGGGAAGGCGATCTGCTAGAAGCAGCTGCACTGAGATACGGAAAGGGGAAGACAAGGTGGGGCGTTGCAGTGCAAGAAGTTGATTTCTCGAGAGGAAAGAGGGGAGGGGGGGCGGAGAGGGGTAGGGGGAGGGGGAGGGGGAGGGGGGAGAGAATTGGGGTGAGAGCAGGCGGTCATAGTGCCGGTGATGTGGAGGATGATAGTTGCATCCATGAGAGTTGCAACATTGTAGAGTGATAAGGTCAGTCATAATAGATGAAAATAATAAGCTTTTCCTGTGGCAGCATCAAACATCAGGCTGGTAAATCACTACACTCTCAACCTGAAATTCTGCACTAAATGACACAGCATCTCCTTTTCCATCCCACGTATCTAACCTACAAACAAAGCATCACAATCTCCTTATGTTCACTTCTCTTTAGTGTTGTGTCATCTGCTACACATGGGCAAGAAAGGATATAATTCCTTCACGGCCCTTTCGTTTGCATACCAAGTCAGATGTGGTAGGAGAAGAGCCTTGTGGGAGGAATGAAAACACGGCGACAGAACTGTGAATAGTAGTGGGTTTTGATAGAGAGTAGGGGGAGTATTACCGTAATCTCCCAACAATTAGACCCGGAAATGACTTGTGTGAACATCAAAGAAGGGAAATATTTATCTAGACCCATGAATCATACACATGCTTAGGGTCATGAAGTGGGTTGGGCGGGAGGGGAGAGGGGGTGGGGGGGGAGGAAGAAGGGGTGTGTAGTAGGAAGAGGGGGGAGTGGAGGCTCACATTGAGTTGCACAAAGCAATAAGAGAGTAATACTGTAATCTCCTAGCAATAAAACCCGGGTTCAAGAATGGGAGAGTGAGGGATGGACTAGTGGGTCGACCTCAAGAATAGGAAAGTGAGACTAATTCACGAAGTAACAAACTAAGGGAGGAGAATATGTTGTTGGATACGAGCACGACTGGCGAATATATTGCAACTACAAGAGGGAAGGGAGGGGGAAGAGGAGGTAAGAGAGAAGAGGACAAGGGGGGGGGGGGAAGGAGGGGGGGGGGGGGAGGGGGGGGAGAGTGGGAAATTGGAGTCTCACACATTTATGTATGCCGACAGTGCGCCGAGCAAAGATACCTCATGAACCCCATGGCTGACTGACTGACCCTTGGCTGACTGACTAATCCATGGCTGATTGACTCTGACTGACCATGGCTGACTGACACTGACTGACCCATGGCTGACTGACTGTTCCATGGCCTTCGCCAACGTGCTGAACCGCCTGCTTGGACTTGCACACTGAAAGAGGCCCTGAAAGAGGCTTACAACCCGGCATAAGAAGGCCCAGTCCGTGCTTAACCCGTGCCCCGTGAGCTGGTCTTGTTGAAGCCATGCCTGTGCTCTCACCCCACCTTGCTGAACCCGTGCCATTTGAGCTGCCCTTGTTGAAGCCATGCCTGTGCTCTCACCCCACCTTGTTGAACTCGTGAACCGTGAGCTGCCCTTGTTGAAGCCATGTCTGTGCTCTCACCCCACCTTGCTGAACCCGTGCACCGTGAGCTGCCCTTGTTGAAGCCATGCCTGTGCTCTCACCCCACCTTGCTGAACCCGTGCACCGTGAGCTGCCCTTGTTGAAGCCATGCTTGTGCTCTCACCCCACCTTGCTGAACCCGTGCCCTGTGAGCTGCGGAGATAACTACTACAACGGGAGCTAGACTACGGGCTAGGCACGGGGTGCTCGTGTGATTTCTGCATTCGTTGTTCCTTAGTCGTTTTCCTAGTGCACACATTGCTTGCTAGATCACGGGGCAATTTGGCAAGAGTTTCACTAGAGAAATTTGACAATAATAGTTAGCAACAACATTGGCAACACAGACTACATCAGAGCTAGCTAGGCTGCTAGTCGACCTCCAGCGCAACATGGTCGACCGCAGTCCAGCGTAGCAGCGCTCACTCCGCTCCAGTGTTGCAGAGTAGCGGTGCCCCAACGTTGCAAATCCATGGTGTGCCAACGCTGCAGTAAGTCGGTTGTACAGCGTTGCACCCGCAGGACAACGGTGCATCTGCTTCGCAGGTGCGCGCAGCTGGTTGGCGCTCCACCCCTTGTCACGAGCACAGCGCAGACGCCTAGCAGACTCCAGGCCAGCGACTGCGCCCACCAGCCACGTCCGCCTCGGGATACCACCCCGAGGTCGGCCTCGCAGACCCCACCCCACCGACGCTCGCGCACGTCGCCCAGGTATCCCGGTCGACCGGGCAACCATGCCCGGTCACCCATGCCCGGCGTCCCCAGTCCAGCGTCCAGACGCCCAGGACGCCGTCCTAACCCCCCCCGGTTGGCGTCCAGATGCCTAGGACGCCTTCCAGACATACAGGGTGGCATC